CCGCCGCTCAGACCTTGTCCGACACCAGAAACTCCACTCGGGAGACAGGCCTTTCACATGCACCAAGTGTGGGAAAGGATTTGTCCAGAGCACCCACCTCATTGCCCATCAGAAGAGCCACACCTGGGAAAAGCCCTACTATTGTCCTCACTGTGGGAGGAGCTTCAATCAGATCTTGAACTTCAACAGGCACCAGAGGACTCACTCCCAGGAGCCCCCTTTCAAATGTTCCGACTGTGGAAAAACCTTCAGCCGCAGCTCGAACCTGATCATGCACCAGAGGACTCACACGGGAGAACGACCCTACAAATGCTTCGACTGCGGGAATAGCTTCAGTCGGAGTTCCACCCTGGTGACTCACCAGAGGACCCACACCGGCGAGAAACCTTTTAAGTGCCAGGACTGTTGGAAGAGCTTCGGAAGACGCTCCACCCTGGTCATGCACCTGCGGACTCACACTGGGGAAAAGCCCTACAAGTGCTCTGACTGCCCTGAAACGTTTAGCGTGAAATCTGGCCTCCTGAGTCACCAGAGAATCCATATGACCGAGAAGCCCTACCTGTGCCTGGAGTGTGGCAAAAACTTCTGCCGCAGTGCAGACCTCATTATACATCAGAGGATTCACACTGGGGAAAAGCCTTATCAGTGCAACGCCTGTGGCAAGAAATTTAACACGAACTCCCACCTTGTGACCCATCAGAGGATCCACACAGGTGAAAAACCCTATAAATGTCCCGAATGTGGGAAGAGCTTTTCTTACAGTTCAGTCCTGGTGGGTCATCAGAGGCTTCACACAGGAGAGAAACCCTATGCGTGTCTCGAGTGCGGGAAGACTTTCCGGAACAATTCACATCTCATCACTCATCATAGAGTACACTCGGGAGAGAAACCTTACACATGCCCAGAGTGTGGTAAAAATTTTAGTGTAAGTTCAAATCTTACAAAGCATCGGAAAATCCATGAAAGAGAGACGTCCTTGAAATATTCTGAGTAGGAAACACAGTGGATGGGATTCTGAACTCAAGAGGCTTCGAAGATAAATATTTGGGGAAATTTTGCTAGAAAGTCCAAATGTTTGCAGTAAAGAAGGTAAAAATGAAAGTAGACATGAGATAGCAAAGAATGTACAAGTAGTCCTAGACTTATGATCACAATTGAGCCCAAAATTTCCTTTGCTAAGCAAGACAGTTAAGCAAATTTTGTCCCATTCTATCACCTTTCTTGCCACAATACTTAGTGAATTACTGCAGTGAAGTTAGTAACATGATTGTTAAGTGAATCTGGCTTCCCCCATTGTCTTTGCTTGTCAGAAAGTTGCCAAAGGGGATCACTGGACACTGCAACTGTCATAAATACATGCCAGTTGCCAAGCATCCAGTTTTGATCATGTGACCATGAGAATACTGTAAAAGTCAACAGTGTGAAAAACAGTCTTTTTAGTGCTGTTGTAACTTTGGGCAATAAATGAATGGTTGTAAATCAAGGACTACCTGTATGCCATATCTTGTATGAAGGGATTTCATTATTAAGAGATCCCTGATTTTTTTTTAAATTCTCTTTTAAGAATGGAATATGATGAGGAAGACGTATTAACTTCAAATTCTGCAACAAGGAAACAAGCATGTTTTTCTTTCTCTCCAAAATAATGTAACACAAAAAAATGTATATTTGCATACTTTTACTTGCTTACTTGCTATTGCAAAATGCTAATTTTTAACATTGTGGAAACCTAGCATATGGAAATTATGGAAAAATACGGTAGCAGTAGGGAAAGGGCCTTTTTTTGTAAAGTCACACATCTGGGGGATTCCAGTTGTTTAGGATAGTCATCAAGAAGTGCCAATCAATCAACTGTGAGGCAAATAGTTCAAAATACTGCTGGAACTTAAAATACCTGATTTAGTTTTGCTGTAGCTCCTATGCTGTAAGCCGCTTGAGTGTTGAAGGCTAGTTATGGTAAATAAAGATGGTCTTTTACTTGGCTGCCAAAAGTGTAGGCTAATGTGTGAACCTTAACAGTTTTTATTTAAACCACCAAGGAAGATGAAGATGTGCAAAATAAAATGAATTGCCCCCAAACTAAATCCCTAATAAGACCTAAAGGCAAAGGTTCCCCTTGCACATACATGCTAGTTGTTTCCGGCTCTAGTGGGCGGTGCTCATGTCCGGTACAAAACCGAAGAGCCAGCGCTGTCCGAAGACGTCTCCGTGGTCATGTGGCCGGCATGACTAAACTCCAAAGACACAACACTGTTCCCACCAAAGTGGTCCCTATTTTCCTACTTGCATTTTTACATGCTTTCAAACTGCTAGGTTGGCAGAACCGGGGACAAGTAATGGGAGCTCAGTCCATTACGTGGTGCTAGGGATTCGAACCACCAAACTGCTGACCTTTCTGATCGACAAGCTCAGCAGCTTAGCCACTGAGTCACCGTGTCCCCCAATAAGGCCTAGCTTTCTTTAATTTTTGTGAGCTCACGGGCTATGTAGCCTTAAGCATTACAAAACTAATTTCATTCCAGTGTTCCTAATTTCCTGCTATCATCTATCTGGGTGTAAAAGATCTGGTCACCAATATAACAAATTGCTAGTGATTTGGTCTTAATTTTTTGCTGACACACATAACTCTGTTGCTGTTAAAAGTATCAAAAAAACTTGGAAAACTTTGACAGTATCATGGCAAAGAAACTGATGTATAGGTAGTCCTTGACTTAAGACAGTTAAGTTCTGCCCCAATTTGTGATGTTTTTGCCACAGATGTTAAGCAAATCACTGCAGCTGTTAAGTGAATCATAAGGTCATTAAACAAATCTGGCTCCCCCCATTGACCTTTCTTGTCAGAAGCTGGCTGGGAAGTTTACAAAAGGTGACCCCATGATCCTGAAACAATGCAACTGTCATAATACATGCTAGTTGCCAAGAACCTGAATTTTGATCATGTGACCATGGGGATGTTGCAATGGTTATAAGTATGAAAACCAGTTGTTAGCCCCTTTTTTTCAGTGCCATTGTAACTTAGATCATTAAATAAATGGTTATGAGTCTGAGGACCATTTATAATGTGGTTCACACATTGTGCCAAGCCTTCATATGTGTTTGCTTTTGGCCTAGGGTGGCGTATGAACCCAGACAATAGTAGCTTGTTTAATAGCAATAGCACTTAGACTTCTGTACCACTCCATAGTGCTTTATAGCAGTGGTCCCCAATCTTTGCAGCTTGGTGGCCTGGCTTGGTGGGGTGGAAACGAACCAGGCCGTGCAAGCAGCAGGCTGGCATCCATGTGCATGTGCACACAGCTTGACTAGTTGCACTGCACACACATGCATGTGCACGCCGGCCCAGCACACACGTGAATTGAGATGCACGCAAATGCCTGCTGGCCTGTCGCTTACATGGCCTGGTTGTGAACAGGCTGTGGTCCAGTAGTGGGCAGAAGCCCAGGGTTTGAGGACCTCTGCTTTATAACACTCTCTGAGCGGTTTATAATGTCAGCATATTGCTCTCAATAACCTAGGTCCTCATTTTATCAACCTTGGAAGGATGGAAAGCTGAGTCAACCTTGAGCCGGTCAGAATCAAACTCCTGGTTGTGGGCAGAGTCAACCTGCAATACTGCCTTCTAAGCACTGCGCCCACCACAGCTGTTAATACACTATGGTTAAACGAACTGTTTGAACCTATGTGAATAAATAGTATGTGGGCATATTTTCCTGGGAAAGTGGTGCTATACAATGAGCATTCAGGTAGCAACACGTTACCAGCCTTGAATGATCTCAGAAGAAGCTGTGCAGGGTCAGATGGGATTTGTTTTTGGAAGGGAGACAGTGCTGGAGAAGCAGTGGAGTTGAGTTTAAGAAGACTTTATGGGTGATCAGAAGCCTCATTAAGGAATGACTGCCAATCAGATTTTGCTCAGACATTGAATCAGCTCCAGTTCTGTGTTGATTGCATTGACTTCCTGGATGCTTAGATGAATTACCCCTTTTGTTCAAGAATGCAAGCTACTGTTTTCAGTAACTTCTGCAGAGGTGCCACTGTCCTCCCTTCTCAGGTGTATTTCAACCCATCTGGGACTTAATCCAGGAAGGAAAGGTTGCTACCTGCCAAGGGATACCCAGGCACTGATGACAAAACATTGGAAGGAATGCTGAAAAACAGAGGCAATTCTATCAATGGTCAGTCCCTGGTGTTAAGATCTCCTGAGAGAGAAATTAAAATCTCAACATCATGACCTGGGAAACAGCAGTTTGGGAGTTTTCAAAACCGTTTTTTACCCATATTTCTGACAGGAAAAAGCTCCTTCCTAGGCTGCTTAAATCTATACATGAATAAAAATGATTTTAACAAAAGCTGCAAACGAGTGAACCTGGCATGTTTTGCGATCGGAACAATCCAAATAAAGGGGCCACAGTCTGTTAGAAGGAACATGTGCCAAGACCAGTTTTAGTCTCAGCCATAACATACAAAAAAACACCTTCACATCCAAAAGCCTTAACTTTATTGTTGTTGAAACCTTAAGGATATTATTGTAGTCAGTGTTAGCTTTCAAAGGAACTGGTTAAAATTGCAGCCAAGATCTATAGTATAGCAATGGTGCAGCTCTAAACAACATTCAGGTGTAAAATCTGAAAGCAAGAAAAATGAGATAATCCAGGCTGGGAATACTTGATGAAACCAAATTCAGCCAGAGGAGTATGCATCCATTACAGAAACATGGAGTGTCCCTTCTTGTATATCTTGTTTTCTGCCACCACAAACAAGTCACCTATTTTGAAGAACATTTAGAATATGCTGTAGAACTTCACTCTGTCAGAACTAGTTAGGCTTCCTTAGGTTTTTGCATTAGGGAGCCAATCCACGCTGGAACTCGTTCACTAATGCTAAAAACTATTACCGCTAAATAGGCCATTTCTTAATCAGTTCCTTGCCAGATGATAAAGGATGCTTTTAAAAGTTTAAAAGTTTTTGTTTAAGGTTGCTGTTTTCTCTTTTTTTGCAAATTCACTTCCCCACTCCTTTTGATGGTTATTATAAATCAAGTATTCTAGCTTTAAAAATATGATCTTGAATCAATGATTAATATTTTCATCTAAACTGTGTTATCTTAAACATTCACAAAACTGCTATGCCATTCTATACAGATAATCCTTGACTTACAACATTCGTTTTAGTGTCCAGAATTATAAAGGTATCCAAAAAAAAAAGTCCTCACACTTATGACCAATGCAGTGTCCCTGCGATCACACTACCAAAACTCAGACACTTGGTAACCAACATATAATTTGCAGCACCCTGGAATCACATGATTACTATTTGCTACCTTCCCAGCTGGTTTCCAACAATTTATGTCAATGGAGGATGCCAGATTTGCTTAATGACAGAAAACAGGTTGTAAAATCAACAACAAATTATTTAGCAACAAAATTCCATCCCAATTGTAGTTATTAAGTTGAGGACTATGTGTTGGCAGGACAGCCATTCCTGATAAGAGTGACTATTGTCTCAGCCATTTTTTCAGCTTTGATTGTGGATTTGTGAAGGGCTAAGGCTTTGGAAATAATTTTATAAAAGTTTTCAGACTGATAGCCATCAACAGAAGTCTCGTGCTTTCTTTTTAACAAGGCATGGGATGTGGGGTCCTTGGTGCTCTCTGAGCTTGGTTATTTTCATTGCCATATTAGGTAATATTATCAGTGCACGGATGATGTCACCAAATTTGGTAATGATAGTTTGGGAAGAAAAAAAACAAGCTTAAAACAGTTCAAATCTGAGCTACAAATATTCTCTTCTCTCAGTAGGTCATAGTAATACTTGTGGAATCTTTGAAGTGACAACTTTACAATGAGAAGGAGCTTGAGAATTTCCTTTAGAGCAGAGTTGGCCTGTGTCAGTCCTGACTGTTTAATTAAGTTCTTACACCACTGGCCCTTTAATTTCATTGGCTGAGCTGCACAAAGTTGTACACTGCGTGATAGATAGCAATAGCAATAGCAACAGCACTTAGACTTAAATAACCGCTTCACAGTGCTTTTACAGCCCTCTCTAAGCAGATTACAGAGTCAACCTATTGGCTCCCAAACAATCTGGGTCCTCATTTTACCGACCTTGGAAGGATGGAAGGACAAGTCAACCTTGAGCCTGGTGAGATTCGAACTGCCAAATTGCAGGCAGACAGATGGCTATGAAATCATTGAAATAAGCACCAAACGTTGGTGTTATTTGTCCACTCTGATTCCTTTTATATATCAACAAGACCCACATGAAGTTCTCACAAATACATTTTGAAACATATGCAAACATTGAAAAAGAAATCTGAAAAGCATCATTTTCACAAAATTCTATTCTCTCAACAATTTCCTGAATGGCCAAAAAAACCCAAACAAATCCTACAACACATTAAAATACAGTAATAGTTCAAAAACAACATTTTGGATTTGGGAATAGATATTCCAATCAGATTAAATGTTAGCCAAATTAGTTCCATTTTATCACAAGTATAGAAGCTACTTTTCTTTTCTTGGTGACAGTAAAGACAAAATACAAAGTCATGCTAAATGAAAGAGGCAGAATTTGGCTCTTTTTTTCCCTTCCCCTCCTCTGGAGCAGACTTCTGAATCCAATTCATGAGACAGAAATAACTTCAATTTATGTCATAATTAAATTAAAGTAGGATCTGCACTACTATTAGGTACAGTGCAGAGAGACACACCCCTTCTCAGGCCAATGCTTGTGCTTGGCTTCTTGGTTACAGTTCAGTGTCCACGCCCAAAAGACAACAGTTAGGCAAGGACAATAGGATTGAATGCAGTTTATATATAATTAAAATTACATTAAATTAGTTTCATATCATTATTTCCCTTTCTGTTATGCTAACAGTTGCAATCTGTTGGCAAATGTTGGAAATGGAAAGCATATGCTAGATTTTGGTGAGCCACATACATCCCTGGTGCTTCTGTCTGTACACCTGGAAAGTCGAGGCTCGGCAGATTTTCTCAGGAGACACATTCTACAGACTGGATCCTTGAGTGCTCTCTGAGCTTGGTTGTTTTCTTGCAGATGTTTCATTACCCAACTAGGTAACATCATCAGTGAACGGATTCTACAGATTGGGCCAGCAAGGAGCTCTCCTCCCCAGATTCTCCTCTGCCACCTAAGCTAGACTGCCACCTACTGGCCTAGCACAAAAAGATGTCTAATTGCCAAAGTTGAAATAAAATCCAGCTATGAAAATGTAGGTGGTATAAACAGAATGAGGGCCAGACACTTTGTTCTTCACTTCAAATAATAAAATATCTTGGCCAGCCTTAGTGGTATTTCACAAATGCACCCTTCAATTCAATGCAAAGGCCGATTTGGTGGATGCCATGAGACGTGCCTTCTCTTCTCCAAAGCTGGCAGTCAGTGCAATCATAAGAACTGTCCTCTCAGGAAACCAAGCTGTTCCTGGTTCTTCTGTCCTTTCCTTGCTACCCTGGATGCTGTTCAGAATGGACGCAATGGAGAGGTCTGGTGATTCCACTGGATGGTTCTCTTTTAGAAATAAATAATACAGCATCTTATTTGTGGCACTCCGTTCTTGGTCTAAAGAATTCAAAGACAGTAAACCCAAGCTATTTTTTTTCTCCATTTCATCTATTCTCAATTTTCTTAATAAGATTAGTTTGTGTAATGAAATCCTATGGCTGAAACGGGGTCTTTCCACAGCCAAGCCAGTATTGTATTGTATTGTCTTTGGATTTCAGTTCTGCCCAACAGTTTAAAAGTTGAGAAAATCTCCTCTCTCAATCAACTGCCTTGATTCCAGCTCTAAGCACACAGAAAAAGGCTCATAATTGGCCATTATAAGAGGCGGCTGGGAGACGTTTTGCCTCCTTTGATTCCCTCATGTAGAAATGCCCTCTTCAACTTCAGGGCTGATTGAACCCAGAATTCATTTCTAATAAGGAAATTCAGGGTTCACACTTAATAGTTACCCCTGAATTTGGCAGGGGCCTGTTCTCTCCAGTGGTGTGACACCTCTTATGCTGAACAAACTGTTTGCTCCCATTAAAACTTTTCCCACAGTCAGGACATATGAAAGAAGTCTTTGCCATATGGATCTTCTGATGTGTAACCAAGTGTGAGCTCACACGGAAGGCTCTCCCACAGTCAGGGCATTCATAAGGTTTCTCCCCCGTGTGAATTCTCCGGTGGATAATGAAATGAGCCCTTTGGCTAAAGCTTTTCCCACATTCCAAGCAAATGTACGGTTTTTCTCCTGTGTGAATCCGCTGGTGAATCACAAGGTTCATCTTCACACTGAATTTCTTCCCACAGTCCAGGCACTCGTACGGTTTTAACCCAGTGTGAATCCCTTGGTGTTTCGCCAAATGGGCATTCCGACTAAAGCTTTTCCCGCAGTCCGAGCACCGATAGGGCCTGTCACCTCGGTGACTCCTTTGGTGCCTTTTGAGCGCCGAGTTCTGAATGAAATTTTTCCCACAGTCTGTGCAGTGGTAAGGCTTCTCTCCTGTATGGATCCGCTGGTGGTTGACCAGATGGGAGCTGTACCTGAAGTTCTTTCCACAGACGTGACAGATAAGTGGCCGTTTCACCCTAGGAATGCCTACTTTTCTTACAGTGTCCTTCTGAGATATCACACTTCCCGTGCTAGACACAGGTGTTTCCTCGGCCTGATCTGAAGGGTTTCTCTTGGAAATTTTCCAGTCCAAAAGGCATTTTTCCAAAGGAGAACTCTGTGGACAAACTTGCTGGAATGTCCTATAAGTGTTGCTATGCGGTTCTAACTGCACACGTTTTTCAAGCTCAGGACTCTTTTTGCCATTCCCATAGGCTGTTCCATTACCTTCAGGATAAACAGACAAAAAGCAACAACAACAACCAGGTAAGTATAATGCCAGACAGAAAGTGCAAACAGAGCAATAGCAGCTCATTATGAGAATCACTTCTCAGTGACACATTTTGCATGCAGGTCTAGGGTTCAGTCTCAAGAAACTGGTTGAAAAATGCAACTGTATGAGGCTCCAAAGAGAAAACAATAAGGGGAGCAGATTCTTACGTCTTTCCAATGTTTAGCTACTGCTAAAGCAGAGATGATTCATATAAGAAATCTCATAGAACACTCCTTTTGGAAGCGGAGGAGAGATTTGGGCTAGGAAATCCTTTCTTTTTATTTTTTTTTATCTCACCATCAAATGAAGCCTTCATACATAATGCTAAGCAACCCTCCCCTTCCAATCAAATGCTCAACAACGGCTGGGAATTCAGTAAATATCCAGTTTGGCAAAAACTACAGTTAAGCCACCATATAATTTGTTTACGGGCCTAGCAGGCATCAGGCTAGAGAGTGGGTAGATGATGAGTTCTTGTCCCACCTTAGCCATGAAAGCCAGCTGGGTGAACTTGGGCTAGTCCAGGGGTGTCAAACTCAAGTCCCAGGGGCCAGATGTGGCCCATGGGGTGCTTAGATCTGGCCCATGAGGCTGCCCTGGAAACAGCGAAGGACCAGCCCGCAGTGCTTCTGCCAGCAAAAAGGAGCTTGGGAGGGCTGTGTGCGGCCCTCCCAAGCTCCGTTTCCACTGGCAGAGGGTTGCAGGAGGCCATCGCAGCTGAAACGGAGCTCAGGAGCCCATTTTCGCTGGCAGAGCGTACGGGCCACCACAGGCACCCCTAACATGAGTGATGTAAAAATGCTCCCCCCCCCCCACCTGCCCCCCCCCCCCCCAGATCAAACACAACTTTAATATGGCCCTCAATGAAATCGAGTTTGACACCCCTGGGCTACTCACTCTCAGTCCAACCCACCTCACAGGGTTGTTGCGGTGGGGAAAATAAGGGGAGGAAGGTGCATTACATATGTTTGCTGTCTTAAGGTATTTGCAAAAATAATGAGATATTTGAATAATAAAATAAAATAAATAAATAACTAGATCTAAAGTTTTGGGTGGCTGCACTGCCCTTACACTATTACATCATCCACTATTGATGTAAGTTTCCTGAAAACCTTTCATAACAACCAAGTAGTCTATTTTATTTCTATTGTGTTGGTTACAGGATTTAATTTCTTTTGACTCTGTAAGGTTTCTTATTTGTAATCTCCATTTTCTGTTTTGATTTGGATTTGATGTACATAGCTTGGAATCATAACTACACAACTTGGTCACTTTGTAAATCTTCTAAATAAATAAAAATTTAACTGAAAAAAAATTTGTTTCTGCAGAATGCTCCAGGTACTTGTAGTCAAATATATTAAATGTATATTGCTATTACCATATCATTTGATGGCTTCTGTAGTAAGGAGCAAATTAGAGGATAAGAAGGCATAGAAATGGCACTGACTTAATTAGATCAGCCACAATCTTCGATATTAGAGGGAAGGCTGAGAATTAATCAAATATGATATTAAAAACAGCAATAAAACAATAGCCATTCAGCAGGTCAGGCAGTATGTAAATAAAAAAAATGGTTGGTCACACAGCCAGCCAGGTGTTTAGAATGGATTTGGCATTTTTATCCAACTATCAAGTCCTTCCCAAGAACCTGGGATATAGCCAGATGCAATTATCATGGTTATATAACCTACTGGCCAAGCGTATGAAGTAAAAATCATCAATAAAATGTTCATTGAGGATTAGTTCACTCAACCTTTCCTAAAATGGCAGTCAGTAGATGTGTTGGGACTGCAACCCCCAGAATTCCCAATTTGGATGATGGGAGATGCATTCCCCTCATCTGAAGGGCCTCTGGCCGGGTAGAAGGCCACTGCAATAGAAAAATACAAGTAGTCCTTGAGTTACAGCCACAATTGAGCCCAAAATATATGTTGCTAAATGAAACATTTGTTAAGTGAGTTTGCCTCATTTTACAACTTTTCTTGCCACTGTTGTTAAGTGAATCATTACCTTTGTTAAGATAGTAATATGGTTATTAGTGAATCTGGCTTCCCCACTGACTTTGCTTGTCAGAAGGTTGCAAAACATGATCACACAACCTCAGAACACTTCAGCCGTCATAAATGTGAAGCATCTGAATTTTGATCACGTGACCATGGGGATGCTGCAAGAGTCAGAAGTGTGAAAAAACAGCCATAAGTCACTTTTTTTCAATGCCATAGTAACTTTGAACGGTCACTAAACGAACTTTCATAAGTCAAAGACTACTTGTACAGGAATGACAGAATAATGGAGTTAGAAGGGACCTTAGAGTCTTCTAATCCAACCCCCTGCTCAAACAGGAGACCCTATACCACGGGTGCCAAACTCGTGGCCTGCAGACCAGATGCGTCACGCGCTGGCCACGCCCAGCCCCGTTTTAGGAAAGGGGGGGGAAAGTTGCAATACGTCATGTGACAACGTGTTGTCGCAAGTTTGACACCCCTGCCTTATACCATTTCAGACAAATGGCTGTCCGATGTCTTGTTCAACATCTCCAGGGAACCCACAACTTCTGAAGGCAAGCTGTTCCACCGCCGGAACAACCAACCAGCAGGATGGTTGGCCTTCAGAAGTTGCATTCAGAAAAAGAACAATGCTCTCAGGGATCACCGACCTTCCACGCCTTTATGAATTTTCCGGTGCGTAATAAGGTTGGAGCTTTGGTTGAAACCTTTTCCACAATCAGGACACGTGTAGCATTTCTCTCCCGTGTGGATTCGCCGATGCCGAATCAGAGCTGACTGGTAGATGAAGCTCTTCCCGCAGTCGAGGCAGGTGTACGCCCTCTCCCCGGTGTGGATCCTCTGGTGTTGGGTCAGAGCAGAGCTCTGGCTGAATCTTTTGCCGCAACTGACGCAGGCGTAGGGCTTCTCTCCAGTGTGGATCCTCTGGTGTTGAGTGAGGGCCGAGCTTTGGTTAAAGCTTTTCCCACACTCTTGGCAGCGATATGGCTTTTCTCCAGTGTGGATCCTCAGGTGAGCGGTGAGCGCCGATTTGTGACAGAAAGTTTTCCCACATTTGAGGCAAGAATCTTTTCTTTCCCCTACATCAGCCGGAGGGCCTTCTGGGGCCCGGATGTTTCTTCTTAAAGGGACAGTTTCATCCAATCTTCCCAGCACGATCTGATTCTCCTCTTGGAGTTCCTCTCGGTCCGTGGCTTGTAAATGACCCAGCAATCTTCCAAATGGTGTTGTGGCGGTGGGGCTTCCTGGTGGAGAAATGTCTCCTGCAAAGGAAGTTTTTGGACTTTTAGACCATGTGCAAAGCCCAAGAGGCCAGCTTTATGGATCAAAAACATTCCTACCCCATTTCCTCATTCAGCACACTTGCAAACCAAACAGTAACCCAAAAGCCCAAAGATTTCCCACTGCTCCACGAGACTGTCAGATGAAAATAAGCTTTCACATAAAACAAGGCAGGCCTTTGATAACTCAGCATGACTCCAAACGCATCACAAGAAGAGGTTGATATTATACATGCAGATAGTCTTTGACTTACAACCACAATGGAGATGAGAATTTCTCTTATTAAACAAGATGGCTGTTACATGAGTTAAGCCCAATTTTACCTTTTTTTGCTGGGGATGTTAAGCGAATTACTGCAGTTGTTAAGTGAATCATGTGGTCTTTAAGTGAATCTGGCTTGCCCTGCTGACTTTGCTAACCGGAAGCCAGCTGGGAAAGTCATCAATTGATGATCACATGACTGCAACCACTGTAAATACATTTCAGATGTCAAGGAACCACATGCTGATCACGTGACTGTTGGAATGCTGTGTCGGTTACAGGTGTGAGGACTGGTTATAGTCATGTTTTTCAGTGCCGTTGTAACTCTGGACAGTCACTAAATTAATGGTTGCAAGTCGAGGACCACCTGGTGAGGAAAGCTAGCAAATTCTTCTGATATTTTAATTGTTCTTAATTAGATTACTTCTCAATTATGGAGAGCTTTTTTTTCTTGAATCAAAATAACTACTAATTTTTATATCTTAGGAAATGCTGACGTAGACCACCAAGATGGAGCCTGACATCAAGGGCTTCCTACCATTTTAAGAGGATTGTACCACCTGAAGGTCCATCCTAATTCAGAGTTTGGTTTCACTTACTTTTTATCCAATCATGTTGCCAATATTCCCTTCCAACTTTGTTGATAATCGCTGATATATTTATTTGTTTGCTTCCTGCCAGACTCCCGTGAGCTTTGCCTGCATGCAAGATAACTTGCTTTTTGGCTTTTCAGAGATGAGAGAGGCAGCTATTTTCTTTCTCCATGAAATGCTCTGACTACAATCTCTATTTGGAAACTAAGCTTGAACTTTAAACTTTTGTGACTGAAGAACCGGCCTAATGTTTACTCTTTTTTCCACTCCCTGTTGTTTATAAAGTTCACAAGGCAATCAAAAACTTGCACATTCTTCTGTGCCTTGTTTATTTTAATAAGGGTATTACTCAAGTAAGGTACCTTCTGATATCTATCCTATAAAGTATTATTTTTTTCTCCATGTTGTTTAATGAAACAACTACCAGAGTTATCTAGAACTAAGGTGCCGCTAGATCAGGGCTGTCAAACTCCAGGACTCCATCACACGCTGGCCACACCCACGCCCAGTTTCCGTGACAACATGAGTTTGACACCCCTGCACTAGGTACATATTCAGCTGTAATCCTCAAGTTACAATTGGCCACTTAGTGACCGTTAGAAGTTACAAGGGACCTAACTGGGAGTGGGTACTGAGGACTCAGATTCAAAGTTCCAACATTTGTGCCCGCCCGGCTGTGTGATCGCACTTTGGGCACTCGGCAACCGGGTTGCATAGATCGACATTTGCAGGGTCCCACGATCACATGGCCCCATTTTACTTTCAGTAAAACTGGCCCATAACAAACCATGGCTTCACTTAACAACCATGTAGTTGCTTCACGACTATGGTACTCACTTAATGATTGCCACAAAAAAAGGTCATAAAATTGGATCGATCATGTGGGTCATCTGATTTACATCCGTCATAAGTTACGAGTTGGGCAGGCCTCACACTGGTTACAACTCAAGGACAACCTGTATGTAACGTATAGCACAGAAATGATGCTGCTGTCCCCTTATATACATACACAGATAGCTCCTACAATGAATGAAAATGCACTTTTAACCATAACTTTCCTACGTGCACGTTTCTTCTTGTCCCCTCTATTACATGCATAAGGGCAAAACAGAGAGAGTAAAAATGTAATTGTTATTTTGAACTATTTTAGCCCTGCCTCACCTGGAATGAATTTTGTCAAGGACTGGCTCTTCCAATAGTCCTGAAAGTCTGACTTCCACAGCCCGTCCCTTTGCTCTGTATGGGAAGCCATTACAGGCTGAGCAATTGGGAAGCCTGCTCAGAGAGAGCTAGTCTACTTTTGCAGTGTAATACCCACCTCCTGTACTCGTTTTCAGATCAGTGGACATGAAGTGCCATGGGAAAGGATTTTCCCCCTCTGTTTCCCCTGTCCAAAAAACAGACCCCACCCTAAGGAACGAACTCTGAAATGGGCATGCAAGGCAGTCATATTGCTGAATGAAGCAAGACTGAGACCAATCATCCCCTAAATGGGACACCACCAGGAACTCACTGGACACGTCCTGGAAACAGAGTATAAAATATATAAAGGAAGTGGGAACATTAGAGGTAGTTGAGCCCAGCATTTCCCTTGCTAAGCGAGGCAGTTGTTAAGTGAATCATGCCCCATTTTATGACTTTTTTTGCCATGGTTGTAAAGCAAATGACAACAGTTGTTAAGTGCTGTTGTTAAACAAAGTTAAGCAAACTTTGAAATGGATCAGGCCTGTCACAGCCATCTTTCCGTTTCTCATTGAGGGAAGAGGGAGGTCTGGAATGTCACACCAGATAGCAACAACAGACCATCCTGTGGGAAACAAGGTCATCTCCACAGGTGCTGGCCAGAGGCTGAGGGGAGTTGCCAAAGAGATGCCCAGGACACCTAATTGGACGATGTCCCAATGGTGCTTTTTTTTCCAAGAGGCAACTGGACTTTCTGGTTTTTCTTTGAAGACGTTTCACTTCCCATCCAAGAAGCTTCTTCAGCTCTGACTGGATGGTGGGGAATGGAAGGATTTATGCTGCTTGGAGAGAACTGATCATTTGCATTCTTTTAGCAAGTCGTTGAGGCCACCTGGAGATTGATCTGTGTCCTCAGGGTCACCTGAATAGTGCAAATGGGTGTGGAGCCTCCTTGGAACTGTTGAAAGGACTGTGTTGTAGATTGGAGATAGATGCAGGCGTGGGCTGCTACCAGTTCGCACAGGTCGGGAGAACCGGATGCTAATTTTACGTCTGGTTTGCCGAAACGGTAGTTCCAATGACTGGCTGGCCCCGCCCACCCCGCCCCTCCCAGGAGTCCCCACATGGCCCATTTTGGATCCCAGGTAAGTACAGGGCCTGCATGGAAGCTCGGGGAGGGCGAAAAATGGGCCTCCCAGAAGAAGGCCTCTGGAGCCTGGGAGGTTTTCGTCCTCCCGGAGGCTCAAGGAAAACCTCTGGGGCCCAGGGTGAAAACAGTCCTCCCCCCGTAGTGCAGGAGGCTGACTAGACCACGCCCACTGTGGCCACGCTCACCCAGCAACCGGTTGCTAAAATTTTTGAAGCCCACCCCTGGATAGATGATGTCATATCACTCCTCTGTTGAGAGAGGGCTGTTCAATTTTGACATAGATGGCCTCTTTGAGCCCTCTTTCAAACCAGTGATCCTGTCTGTCCAAAATATGGATTTGTTGTCTTCTTTGTGGCCTGTGCCTTTTAAATGCAGATGGGCTGCTGAATCTACTCCTGATGTGTTTGTTCTCCTTATGTTGTGCCATGCGTTTATGAAGTGGCTGTTTTCTTTCCTCAATGTACAGATCTGCAAACTGAACAGACCCCTCTCAACACAGGGGAAGGATAGACGTCATCTATCTCCAATCTACAACACAGTCCTTTCAACAGTCCCAAGAAGGCTCCACACCCATTTGCAGCACTCAGGTGGCCCTAACGATAAACCTCCAGGTGACTTGAATGACCCGCTAAAAGAATGCAAATGACCAGCTGTCTGCAAGGAATATAAATCCTTCCTTTCCCCGCCATCCAGCCAGAGCTGAAGAAGCTTCCTGGATGAGAAGCAAAACCGTCTTCAAAGAAAAACCAGAAAGTCCAGTTGCCTCTGGAAAAAAAGCACCTTTGGGGCAACCATGACCTGGATGACTGAGAATCTCCATAGAGTCTAATTGTACAATATGACCTGTGACACTGGGGGAAGGGATGATCTATTCTTTAATTGTACAGAAACCACGGGAAATATTTAGAACTGGTTTTATTTTCATGCGTGCCGAAATGATGTACTCAATAAAACAATTCTTTGAGAAAGTTGAAAGTCTCCGAGTGCTGAATTGGTTGGGTTCCTTAGTCGGAACTTTTGACATCTGGCTTCCCTCATCGATTTTGCTTGTCAGAAGTTCTCTAGGAAGGTTGCAAATGAGAATTCCAGGATGTTGAAACCATCATACATGCATGCTAGTTCCCAAGCAGTCGGATCACATGACTGTGGGACTGTGGTGTTCCTGCAGTGTTCGTAAGTGTGAGAATCGGTCACTTTTTTCAGTGCCAATTTAACTTTGAATGGTCGTTCAACAAACGGCTGTAAGTCGAGGACTATGGTAGCTGTAATCGGGACACACCAATTTTAGCTGGCTTTGCAAACAGCGTACATTATTAGGAACTGCTGAGGAATATCAATAAACTTTGCAGTTGACCTATAAAAGATCAGGAAGGACATATAAAGTGATGTGAAAGCATTTCCTTTAATAAAGTTAGTTAGGTGCCGTCAAAGCAAGCTTGACTCCTTGTGATTCTAAGACCAAATGCTCACCGTCTTAACCTGCCTTTGGCAATATCTGAAAGTTAATCCAAAAATCTTCTTGATCCTGACCGTCTATTTCAGGGGTGTCAAAATGGATTTCTTTGAGGGCCGGATCAGCACTGTAGTTCTCCTGTGGACTGGCCCGGGAAGTTGCGGGGGGGGGGGGGATGGGACAGGCGCCTCTTGAAGCACTTTGTCAGCCAAAACGGGGCACGGGGGAGCCACAAAGTGTGGAGGCCGTCCAGGCCAAAAATGGGGTGTGTTGGGGCACATGGCCCCCTGTGCCTGATTTTGGCTAGCACAGTGCTGCAGGAGATCATCCAGACTGAAAAGGGGGAATGGGGGGCACGTGGTCTCACGCCACACTGTGGCTGCCAGAGACACTGCAGGCCAGTCCTTTGTTATTTTCAGGCCAGCTCCTAGAGCCAGATTTAAGCACCCCAAGGGCCGGATGCAGCCTGTGGGCCTTGAGTTTAACACCTCTGATCTTTTATCTGATGTCTTCCTTTTCTCTTTGTCTTTTCATCCTTGTCAAGCATAATAACCCTATTTATCCTTTCATTCCCTTACATCATCTGTATAAATAAGTGAGTTTTTGCTTGTTGATCTTTGCTTCGAAAGATCAACTGGCCTTTGTTTGATTAACGGTTGATCAACAGTTGTCGATCAATCCATGAGCTTTAATAATCACCTCCAAAAAAACATAATTCAAAGCCATTTATCTCCTTTCTCCCATTCCTTCCCTGACTCCAACTTTCACAGCCAATTCCAAGTGTAAAGATGGACAGTTTCAAAACATAATAAAATAAATAATAATTTACAGCTAGAAAAAAAAAACAATATTTTACGTGTTCTGATCTTTGTTAAAATTGAAATGTCCTGGTCCTTCATAATCTTGTCCATGTGTATCATTGCCTGATTGATTGGTTGTTTATGTAAACCATGCAACACAGAATCTTTAAAAAATCCAAGTTTTAAGAGTACAGGAGATGACGGGAGGCATATATCACTTACCCAGGGACAATATATGCTTATAGTTTTCCTGCATAACATCCTTGTAGAGGGCTTTTTCGTTCACATTCAGCAATGCCCACTCTTGCTCAGAAAAATGCATGGCCACCTCCTCAAATGAGACCTACATTGGAAATAGGCAGATCTTTAATTCCCGAGAGACCCTTCCAGCAACTTCACAGCCATACATTACCCAATCTGAAAATACAGGGAAGTTTGGAATGGGGCCAAGAACTGAGAAAAGATTCCATCCAACAAAGGATCTGGGCAGTAGGGTGATAAGAGCAGCATCTTTCTCTTTGCTCATAATGACTGACAGCAGGGTATGATCCACTTTTTCTGGGCTGGAGGCTACGCTTTGAGTGATTTGGGGCCACAAAAAAACAGTGTGGCGCAGCCAGGACTAAAATTCTATTTGACCGCATTTGATTTGTTCATACATATGTTCTAAATTGAATACAGATAAGATCAATTCCCAATCATGTATTTAATATTTTATTATATATCATATTAAAAATTAAAATGTAGCTGGTGGGGTACTTGTGGACTTCCAGGCTGTGCATCTGTAATATTAGATTATTCCTAGATACAGGAAAATAAATTAATATGCTCTGAGCAGCAAAAGGAATTGGAAGATGAATCATAATTGCTTTTAACATTACTGAATAATATCGTTCAGCTGCCATATCTTTTCTTTCCTTTTCCCCCTCTCCTGCTCCACAAATTCAACAACACCAAGGATCAAGGTTATGATTTCAGCTGAAAACAAAGCTCTAATTAGACTATATATGGATAAATATTATTTATTTATTTGTTTTTTTATTTATTTTTATCCTTGGCAATCACAATATCGCAATACAAAAACTGCAGGATTTAAACAACCTACCATACAAATTGCAACCACAAAATCAAAGCTGGGAAAAATAATAATAAGAACAACAAGAGGCATGGGTGAATTTACTGAAAGTTTCCTCAAAAATACCGTTTTTAATCACTTTAAGTTACCGGGGAGGTAGCTTAAAAGTCAATAGAGAGCCCATTATGTAGTGTTCATGCTGCAACATAGAAAGCAGTACTTTTTAACTTTCTCTCCTCTCATTTTCCAGAAATGTGGGTCAACATGCAGCCCCTGGGACATAGTTCATGCAGGCAGAGTGAGTAAAAATATTAATAGGGCTTATTTAAAAAGGGTCTGACTGTAGCCAAAATTTTTAAAAAAACAGCGCAAAGGAAGGAAAAATATCCTCTAGTGTTTCCTTTTCAGATTGTTGAGCCTTGTTAACTATGTTTTGTTAAAGAAAGAGCATATTTCGACATTTTTCACATGAATAAAGCATGTTACAGAGACACACGTTTTCTTCTACATCTTGTGTTTGCATTTTTGTTCTCCCAAGTACAGCCTCACATATATATAAAACGCCTACCTGGTGAAAAGCCAGAGAGCTAGAATAGGGTGTTACCAAAAGTAGACAAGGCGCGATTTTGCTTTCTTTCAGAGCAAGAAGGATGCCTGGAAATTACAGAAAACATTAACATGAGACAGTAACTAGTTCAACTATGCCTCTCTAAAAGAGAACAGGGGTGTCAAATCGAAGGCCTGGGGGCTGGATCCGGGCCACGGAGGGCCTAGATCTGGCCTGCGGGGCCACCCTGGAAACAGCAAAGGACTCGCCTGCAGTGCCTCTGCCAGTAAAAATGGAGCTCAGGGAGGTTGCACAACCCACCCCCCTGGGGCTGTTTTTGGCTACGACGGCTTCCTGCAACCCTCTGCCAGCAAAAACAGAGGCCCGGAGAGACTGCGCCCTCCATTTTTGCTGGCAGAGGAGTGCAGGAAGCAGTCATGGTTGAAAACGGAATCTCGACGAGTGACATCGAACAGGCCACACCCACCTTGGCCACACCCACCTTGGCCACACCCACTCTGCCCCCCCCCCCCAGATCAAACACAACTCTGATGTGGCCCTCAATGAAATCGAGTTTGACAACCCTGACCCGGGGTGGGGCTGCTGGGGGTTTGCAGGCGTTTGGGAGAGCCCCTAGCTAAGATTCTGCACAGTTCGAACAACCCCCAAATCCCACTCCTGGCTGGCTCTGCCCACCCCACACCTCCCCTCCCAGGAGTTCCCCACGCGGCCTGTTTTGGATGCAGGTAAGTGCAGGGCATGCATGGAGGCTCAAGGAGGGCAAAAAACAGGCCTCCCGGAAGTTCAGGAAGGCTGGAAATGGGCCCGTTTCCAGCTTCCAGAGAGCCTCCAGAGGCTGGGAGGCTGTTTTCACCCTCCCAGAGGCTCAAGGAAAGCCTTCAGAGCCCAGGGAGGGCAAAAAGTCCCCTTCCCTACTGTGGTGCAGGAGGCCAACTAGGCCACACCCACCATGGCCACGCCCACTCAGCAACCAGGCAGAGAACCCTTTGCTAAAATTTTTGAAGCCCGGCCCTGCCCTGATCTAGAATCCCTGGTGCAGCAAACAACAAGAATTCTCATGCTCACCCAATGACATCACGTGTTCAAAATTCTCCTGCATGACATCCTTGTAGAGGACTTTGTCACCAACATTTAGCAAGGCCCACTCCTGATCTGTGAAATACACAGCAACCTCTTCAAATGCCACCTACACCACAAAGAAATGACATCTTTATTTCACAACAAAAGAGCTACTATTCCTACCCTTAACATAATCACAGCTCACTGCTGAAGTTTTCAAAATTATGAAACCAACTGTTAAGCACTAGGGCTTAGATATAGTTCAGGCCAAACAGTTGTTTGTCTTGCTGTGTATACTTTGCAACTGAACGGACTAAGTGTATACTTTGCAACTGAACGAACTAAGAATTAAGAACTGTAGAAGCAAGCGAATAACAAAAAAATATATATCATATAATCACATAATTGCCCTGGGAGTCCTTGACTGATAACCACAATGGAGTCTATACATCAAGGTCATCAGTTGTGATGGTTGTAAAAATGGGTCATTGACATGAAGAGAACACGGCAGTCATAAACTTATTCACTGATATTTCTATTAATTTGCTGGAATGTGAAATTAAGTGTATTGTGTAATATAGGTCAGGGGTCTCCAAACTTGGCAATTTTAAGACTTGTGGACTTCAACTTCAACAGTTGAAGCCCACAAGTCTTAAGGTTGCCAAGTTTGAAGACCTCTGATATAGATAGTATTTGACTTACGTAAACAATTGAACTCAAAATTTCTCATGCTAGGCAAGAGAAATTGAGTTCTGCCCATTTTATGACCTTCCTGGCCACAGCTATTAAGTGAATTGCTGCAGTTGTTACACGGTTGTTAAGTGAGTCTGGCTTCCCCATTGACCTTGCTTGTCAGAAGTTTGCAAAAGAGGATCACACTGTTCTAGGATACTACAACCATGACAAATACATACCAGTTGCCCAGCATCCAAATTTTGATCACATGAGCGTGGGGATCCTCGCAACAGTTGTAAGTGTGTGAAAAGCAATTTTCAGTGCCATTGTAACTTTGACCAGTTGCTGAATGAATGGTTATAAGTCAAGGACTGTCTGTAGTTTACATACTATATTAAGTCTCTTTTCTTTTGTGTTGACTTCTTTCATGACTTTGGCCACTGTGTCCAGATATGCTGGCACAGTTTGGTTAAGAATCTTGACCTGTCTTTGAAAACTTGCCATATTTTTCTAGCCTTCCAACTTGGTAATGACTGCAGTGTTGATTTAACCTTGTCTTTTTGTACTAGAGATCTGGAAAACAGGGAATATCTTGAATGTTGACACTCCAACTGCTGTACACAGAATTTCAATAAACTCCTTTGTCTGACCTTCTGTCAACCAAGTATTATCTGTTTATGAAGAGTCCTTAGCACGCCAATTTAAGGACGGAATCTTCTAAGTTCAGAGATCTTCTGCAAGGTTCTCCTTGTCTTCGCCCATGTATGTTTCCATCTGTGATGTTGTAATGCAGGAGTGCCCAACCCCTGGGCCATGGTCCACTACCAGGCTGTAACCTATTTGGAACCAGGCCGCGTGAGAGGCAGGCCAATGTGCGTGCACAGCTCCACTCCCATGAGTGGCGCCCTAAAAACTTACCTCTTACTTGAGTGGAGCTGCGTGCGTGCGTGCGTGTGTGCCAGCCCACCACTCATGTGGCACCATTCCTCTCTCCCCTCCAACCGGGTCTGCCAATCCGCAAAGGTTGCGGGCCGCTGTTGTAATAAACCTCGTCTAACAGTCTCTGAAATGTTTTAAGTTTCTTCCTGAGATCATTGTTCTTTCTTTGCTTTGGTTTTCCTTCTCTTCTTAGCAATTTTCACTACCATGTCTGACATTCAGTTTGCCTTTTTTTCTTTTTTCTTTTCTTTGACTCCCTCTTTTCACCTTCAACCTTTAACAATTGATTTGATTTCATTCCATAGTTCTTCCTGTTCCCGACCAAGAAGATTCAGGACTTCAAAGAAATTCCTGATGCTCTTCTTGAAAATGATGGATCATTTTCTAGCGCTCTAGATCGTATCTGAAAACTAGTTGGTTTTGTTCTTCCAATTTAGCTTGAATTGGAACTTCCACAGGAGCAGTTTCTGGTATGTTCCACCGTCAGTCTCTGGCCGTAATCTTTGCTGTAATAATTGAGCTGTTTCACCTTTTTGTAACAATAACATAGGCAATCCTTTTCAAGTACAGGAATCGTGTTAAAATCATCTCCAATGGATGACTGTCTAGCCTTTAGTGAATGTTAAATCTATTACCTTTTGGCATTATTCCCACTGTTAAACTTTACTGGAATACATCTTCAGGGTACATGTAGCTGAATAAAAAATAACATAGACTCCATATTGTCATATTTGAACCCCTGGATTTATTGTTCTATTAAAGCAATAAGGCAATACATTATTTTCTATAGATTCTCACAGTGTATGGAAAATACACTCTTTTTGTTGGAAGGGTCATGAGACTTAATACCCGGGGCTAGTTTACACATATCAATTTTCTTAGCCCAAAGAACATTGCCCATGGAGCCTAGTTTTGCTCACATAGGCAGAAAGCATAAAAGGAGGGCAGCCACTGTGTTCGCGTCTTAGGCATTTTTGTTCTCCAAAACAAAGCCAAATAAAGACCTATTGAAAACGACCTACCTGAGGAAGTTCCATCTTGCTAGGCAAAAGAACAGGAAGTATTCCAGGGAAGCAGAGACTGAAACTTTTTATCTGCCCAGAAATTAGAGAAGAAACAATTTATTATATCACCGCTGATGAATTCCATTAGTCCTATAGTAATACTACAATTCCAACAATCAAACCCAGATGCCTAAGGAGGATTTTTAAACAAGAGAAAATTCCCCCAAGGAATCCAGAATTGCACATGTGTATACTATATAAGTCAATGGGTTTAAGATTTATTTACAAATAAGAACAGTTGGTTTATTGGTTTTTCTTCAAAGAAGCAAAACAAAATTACAGTATTTATGTCCAATAAATCTCAGCAATTGGTATCGGATGCTTGCTCTAGATTACAGTGTTTTTCAACCTTGGTGGCTTGAAGCTGTCTGGACTTCAGCTCCCGTTCTCAACCCCAAGGTTGAGAAACACTACTCAAGAAGCTAATTTACAGTCCATAAGCAAGTCTTATCAATCCCAATAGGGCAGAAGGTGCTTGGGCCCCAGTAAATTGAAAAATCCTGCATGGAAAAAAAAAGTATTCTGGTGGTAGCTAGTTCTCTGATGAGAGGGAGCAAGATGTGACAGAGAGGTGCCAAACCTCTTCAATCCCATCAATAATTACCTCTACCCAATAATTCATATGGGGATCAGCAATTCTGATAAAAGAGACCCTAAACAGATCTCCAGGGGCTACACAGACCCAGTCAGGAACTGGGAGCACGAAGTACAAATAATCTTCGACTTAACCACAAATGGGACCAGAATTTAGCACGCTACTATGGTAGAAGGGAAAAAATGAGAGATATCTAAAGAGATCTGTGTGGGCATTTTTTTCAAGGCACATTTATAGGAAATGGAAAGAAGGACATAAAACCAAAGGATACAAGCCAGTCAACAAATATTACTGGAAATACTTCAATACAGCTAAATTCAGAATGTGCTGAAATTTGGGGAAAAGGCCAAGAGGCTGTCAGCCTGTTGCCAGGAGAAAGGAGTAAACTGATAACAGTAAGAAGGTAGAATCTGTTACCTCATCTTTTACATTTCGCATCTCTCAGAAGGAAAACAAAGGCCTAACTGGCCACTGTTATTGTACCACAAATGGAAAGAGGGAGTTGCAATTCAAGGTACACAAAAGAACACTGAGTTAATTTAACAAATTTCAGCTTTCCAGAACCAGGTGAATTACTCCCTAGAATACAGAAATTAAGCAGAACTGCCAACTGTGGCTCTTGTGACCTTCTGTAAAACTGGTATTCCAGGAAACTGGAAAGTAGCCAATGTTGCTGTCCTCAAAAAAAAAAAGGGGGGGGGGGGAGAAGAGAATCTGGGAAATTACAGATCTGTAAAGCTTGATGTCTATATTGGGCAAAGTTTTGAAGCAGACGATTAAACAAGGCCTCTGAGTACTTGGAAAGGAATGCAATAATTAATTAGAGCCAGCTTGGTTTGTCAAACTAATCTTTTCTTTTTTTTCTGACAGAGCTATTATTTATTTGTTATCCCACCTTTATTTTTTATAAATAACATCATTATATTCTCATTAATAAAGGAGTCAAATATGAGCGAGGTAGATAGATGATAGATAGAGGACTTCATTTGCTGAATGTTTGCATCTGGACAGTACCTCCAATGGAAAGTGATATCAAGCGGACTGCCAGAGGGCTTGTGTGCCCTGGGCCGTTCAACCTTTTTATTAATAACCTGGATGAATGGGTTCAGGGGATGAGGATTACATATGCAGATGACCCAAAAGTACTTTTTCCCAAAAGCAACTGGACTTTTTTAGGGTTTCTTTTTCCTTTGAAAACATTGCATTTCTCATCTTAAAAGCTTCTTCAGTTCAATTCTTTCAAATCCTTCAGATTCAGAAGGGAAATGTTTTCAAAGTGGGGCGGGGGGAACCCTTGCCTTTTGGAAAAAGCATCTTTGGGACAACCATCACCCAGAAAATTGAGAATTTCTATAAAAATCTGTAGATGACACACAACCCAAGAAAGAATGGCTAATACTCTAGATTAGAAGATAATAAGATGGGGGAAACTTGGCTTGGCTGTTAATGCATGTTAAAAGGATCTTGGTCTTTTGGAATACATTAAATAAACACACACACACACACACACACACACACACACACACACCTCCCAGCGACTCTGGGCAGCTAATTAATGGTTTAAGCACAAGCAACCACACAACAGGGGCAAAGCAAAGAATGGAGAAATGCACAAAGCTGTCCTGCTGCTCCCCAAGGCAGCCAGCAAGCAACCTAAGCACAGCGCAGCCAGGGAGTGCGGAGCAATTAAAGTGGTGGATCAGACCCAGGGTTCAAGTCCACTTTGTGCAGTGATACCCTCTTTTTTTTACCAACCGATCTACCTCACCGGGCTGTTGTGTGCAAAAGGCGAAAGAGAAGAAGCATCTTGTGCATCTCCTGGAGGAAAGTCCAGGTTTAATGCACGATCAATGCACAAAATAAGCAACCATAGCTTGGATCCCCGCCCCCCTTTGCCTCCACCGACCTCCCACTACATTACACACACACCGACTAGCCTGGCTTCTGCGATCACGATCAACCCGGCTCGCGACTATAAGGAGCCCTTAACCAGCCGGCAAATCTAGTTTCCCATCGAGTTCCCTGACTAAACCCGGTACCTTCGCCTCTCCTCCTTTTTGCAGCAGCAATTAACGATCCAGACGGGAAAGCCGAAGCGCCTCCAGCCCGGGACAACCAGGCGGCGCTGCGTCTAAAATGGTCGGTAATTGACAGACGGAGCGGTGGAGGCGGTGTCTCCTTTCGTTGGCCGTGAGAGCACGGCGCCCTCTGCTGGCCGGCTGCCTCCCTGCCCCGAACTTGACTCGCTCAGGTGTTCTGCCTTCACAATGGGGAGCGGATTCGACCTTACAGACAAAAGGGTGTTGTTTTCCTGAGTCTTTCCCTTATGGGGGTAGCAACATCTACAGTAACTCTATATTCTAGCCCTTTATTTCAAAAAACTGTCATTTGCATTTATTGAATTCCATTATTTCGTTTCTAGGGTTTGCCCTCGAATTTTATTTTGTAAAGCAAATTTTTTTTTTATCCTAACGAAGCTATCTCAGATTGGTCCCTTTTTCAGGTTTGGCCTTTATTTTTTTTCCCCAAGAAGATATGATGGCTGTAGTTATAGCAACACTGGAATGCGTCCTTAAAGCCTTGTCTGAAGTAATCCTTGACTGAAGGGCTTTATAAAGGCAAATATTAAATATGATATTTGTGGAAAAGTAAACTTCTGGTCCCGGTGATGGAACCAGATTGGATCTTGTAATATTTGTATTTAATCTACCTCAGACTGTCTCAGGCAGTCCCCAGCATGTTGAAATCTGGACTTCTGTATTGCATTAATATTAGCAAACCTGTTTTAAAAATGTCTTTTATCCAGTGAAGCTATCCAAGTGGCAAGATGTTTGAATACCCAAACAACTCCAAAGGCTTCTTTCTTTTTAAGGTTCAATGTTTTCTTGGATTTTCATCTTTCTTTGAACGTCCTTAGCTTCATTTCTATCTTCTAAAGAGTTAAGTTTGTTGAATGGATTTTGCTTGCTTCTCCCACCACTCCATTCCTCTAGCAGAGATAAAAGGAGATATGGCATAGGATGTTAACAATCAAGTAGACAGGCTGTCTCCAAAACATTTGCTATTAAAATGGCTGATAATGCCTGGACATATTCTTGCAAAAAAAAAAGATAATACACCTACACAGAGTTTTAACCCTCTTCACCTTCCAATCTCCCTTCAAGGCTTAGGTTCCAGCAAGTTTTACAACATAATCTCACATAGGAGTCTAGTGACCTTCACGCACAACATCTGCTGCAATCAAGCAGCTATATTTGTGTTGTCTTAAACTGTAAATAATAATAAGAGAGAGAATTGGTGAGTTCCCAGAAGGCTGGAGGACAGCAAATGTTTTTGTCTTCAAAAATGGAAGGAGAATGATCTAGGGAACTACAGATTTCTCAGTTGACATTGCACTCCGGCAAAGCCCCTGAACGGATGATTAAACAGCGTGTTTGTGTACCTAGCTAGGAATGCAAAAGTTAACAAGAGCCAGCATGGGTTTGTCACAACAAGTTAGGCCAGGCATACCTTATCTCCTGGAGAGTTACCACCTTAATCGTACAGAACATAGTGTCCCTTGACTTCAACAAAGCCTTCAACAAAATCTTTCATTATATCCATACAGGCTATAGGTGGCAACTAAGACTGACTGAAAGACTGTACTCAGAAAATACATACAAACTGATCCATATCAAGCTGGTGATAGATACAGAGTTGATCTGTCCTGGGCCTGATGATGTTCACCATTTTCCCCTGTTCAGTCATGTCTAAGGGGCAATTGCTCACCTCCATTTCTTAGCTGAGGGAGACACTGTTGTCCGAAGACATTTCTGTGGTCATGTGACCAGCATGGCTATATGCTGAGACCCACGGAAAACTCTTTATCTTCCCACCACTGAAGAGGTACTTATTTATCAATTCCCATTTGCTTGATTTCAGACTGCTAGGTTGGCAGAAGTTGGGACATTGGAGTGTTGAACCAGAGCTCCAGTGTCAAGATCAAGGTCTTTAACTGTTGGGCCATTGTGCCCCCTAGGGGAGGGAACAGACTTGATCTTTGTTGACCAGAGGGCAGAACTACAACTAGTGATGTCCATTCTGAGTAATGAACTCAGGGTAACCAAGACTCTGACATTTTGTTCAGGTTCAAGAGATCCTTTATTGAGTACAGCATATTGGCACTTAGAAAGGCAAAGCCAGCTCTAAATTATTCCCGCGCTTAGGGATAGTTCAAAGAATAAGACATCCCCACCTTCCTTTGTCTCTCAAGTCACATGGGCCAATCAATCCAGATTCAACAGTTCAACAGTTGTCCATTGACATGACCTTGGTTTTCACACTGGCTGGTAGATGCTATGGCTAGCTGGCTGAAGCACCACATTCCCAAGTTCCCCCCTCCATGCTGTCCCTTTCTCCCCCTTGAATGACAACCAAGAAACGAAGCAGAAATAAGTATGGCTTCAGCTGAAGTCGTTTTGCAGGTTGACAGGTGAGTTGAAACTTGAGGAAAGTATATTCAAGTTATATATTAGGAGGAATCTTCTGATGGAAAGAGGTATTAATCAGTGGATCAGATCGACTCATGAAGTGGTATGTTCTCCTTCACTGCAGATCTTCAAACCGAAGAAGTCAAAATTGCATTACCAAGTGTTGCACTGAATGGAAGGTTGGGTAAGATGACCTCTGAGACCCCTTCTAACTTGATGAGTCTATGATTAATACAGGAGTAAGGAGAGGGAGGAGGAAGAAGCATTAGAGGCATTAAAAAGATTGACAAGAAAGCCGCTTGTCTGACAGAATTAAAAACAACCTCAACCACACTGGTTACTAGAAATCTCCACGGATTTGTCAAAAAGAATCCTCCCTCTTTTATTTTATTTTATTTTATTTCCTAATTGGATTAGAGGCTTAGTGGGTGGTTTGAAGAATGCTGACACTTTGATTTCACCCAAGGTAGTAGACAGTGTTCCTTGTTATCTGTGATCAACAGTTATGTATTGACCTGAAGCGATCGTTTGTTGAGTAACTCTGAGATGGCTACATTCACAACATTTCCCAAGGTTTTTTGAGTTGTGGCTTTGTCTTCATTTCTCGCTTGAACGTCAGTCCAGCCTTCAAGATGAAACACATTAAATTGTTTAATAAACAGAGCAGGGTGGTAATTTCACATGGAAATAGCAGATAGGGAAGGGAACAGGCCAAAAATGGGATCACCTAAACTTGTGCAGTCAACAGTTTTGTCAATGGGAGTGAAGGAATTCTGAATGACTGAGTAAAATTCAGATTTGTGGTGTCTTGCATTTCTGAATGTAACTTGCATTACAACTTGTAGGCTTCAAACTTATAAACTACATCCCTGAGAATTAAGAGTGGCTTTTTGACACATACAAATGTCAGAAACCCCAGAAGCAATGAATTTTATTTTATTTTTTAATTATTTATATATCAAACATCTTAACCACCCATCTCCCTCATAGAGGGGGTCCATCTCTCCCTCCCTCCCCCCCTCTCTCCCCCTCCCTCCCTCCTTTATATAGAAAATGTTGTTTATTTAAAAAAGCTAAAATCTATGGAAAGTGACTGGATAGGGAATAAGGTCTCCGTCTTCCAAATAGTTGCTGATGGGCACTATTTCAGTCCATGAACACTGAAATGGAGGGTGCCTCACTCAGAATTGTAGAAAAAGAAATATGGGGGTGTATAGAATCTGTGTTTAAGTATTTGGTTTTTGTTTTTTCAGGGTGAGCAGTTTCATTTTATTATCTCTCTACTGTCCAGCTGTAACAATCTTGGGAGTCAATCTCAGAAAATGTTCATAATTTTTTTTTTTCTGCAGAATCTTCTCAGGATGGAGGTGAAACCAATCCATCCCATATAAGAAAGTGACAGGCCACATGAGGTGAGATCTGAGGGACCCCAGGACAGCCCATTTGAGTACCTCACAACACATCTTCCCTAGAGATCAGGCCAGCAACAATTCATTCAAAGGGTCAATCAAAACAGAATTATTCCGCTGGACCTCGGAAAGGGGACGTTATCTTATGCTAGTGTGTGCACTTTCATCCTTAAAATGCAGCTACGTTCATTGTAACTTGTTTTTTAAATACATTTTAAAAAAATACTTTTGTGCCTGTGAGCTGCTAGGAATCTTTTCGGTCTGGCAGCACACCAAACGAAAAAAAAAAAGAATCAATGAACATTGTTTCAAACGATTGACCTCTTTGGGTAGGGAATTCTGAGAGTTGAAATCCGCACATCTTAAAAAGCTGCCAAGTCTGAGGAACCCTGGTCAGCATTCTAATCCTGGGATTTTGTGATGACCTCTCAAAGTTTAATATTCCCCAAGTCGGCACCTGCTTAGCTTCCAAGCCCAGGCAAGAGATTATCCGCGAGCCTTCTTTAAGTAATCGGCCTTCTTCTCCCCCTGAGTCCCCAATGTTCGAGCAACGGAGTGTCTTCCCGGCCACGACCGCTAGGGGTCTCTGCACCTAGGAAAGCAGCGGTTTCCCCCCCACCCCCTCCGCTCTCTCGCCTCCTCTCGCTTCCTTTGTTCCGAGGCTTCCATCCCCGACTACATCCGGTCTCTGCAGCTGGTCGGCCACCATATTGGGGTTGCTCGCCGCCCGTCAGGCCTCGGCGCCACTTCTCCTTGCGGCCGCCCGACGAGGCGACTGCCCGGGGCAGGATCCCGCTCCGATTGGCCAGCCTTCCACCCCGGATTAGGCGGAGGAGATAGCGAACGACGGTTGGTCTTCCGTGGGGATCCTAGACCCGCCGCCCGTCGTTCCCCCACCCCCCCCACCTCGAAACCGCAGGACAGCGGGGTGGGAGGTCAGGGCGCGGAGCGGCAGTCGAGGCGGCAGAGTTAAGAGGGGACTCGGGCTCGGAGGCCCCGGCGGGGCTGGAGCGGGCAGAGCGGCCTGGAGGATCAGAGGAGATGGGGTTCCCCCGGCCTTCTCTCTAGACCCCCCTGCCCGTCTGGCGACCCCCAAGGCGGGGAGGGTTGCTTTGCCCAGGAGAGCCGGCCGGGGCTGGGAATTGGGGGCTGGGGGTGGTCCTCCCCGGCGGGAGAAGGGGAGGCTTGGGTGGGCCTCGGCTTCCTCTCCCCCGGGTGGGCTGGCCACTTCGGTGCCGCCACCCTCGCTTCCGGCTTCGGGGAGGTTTTCCCCGCCGTCTCTCCTTCCCCGGTGGCGGGGGAGAGAGAGAGAGAGGGGGGGGGGGGGCCGCCGGGGTTGCGGGCGATGAGTCATCCTACCCGCCTTGGCATCGCGGTCCAACAAGCGGCAATGTTGAGAACCGTTCGCTTCCCTCGTTGGGGGTCCAGCAAACGAAACGGGTCACGGGGGCAAAAAAAAGCTTCTCCCACCCCCGGTGATAACGCGGACGGGCAGGTTGACATCTGGAAAGGACGGCTTTCCCGCAGCCGTCTGCCTCCCCTATTGATGGGCCGGAGGGCAATGCCCCTGATTGCGCAGGCCATTGCGCTGTTTGGGGCCTGGGTTAGCTGGGCGAGGTGAGTCCCAGAAGGGAGCCAAGCTGGGGGCAAGCTGGCCTGGGGTGCTTGATCAAAGCAGAACTAGAGAGAGGAGTGGTGAGTAATCTGCTGAGAGCCAACCAAGCAATGCAGAAAGTACAAAAAAGAAAGGCGATATTATCAGCACTCATTTACACAGCAATAATAGAAGCATCTTGCAGGGTGAGTTGCGTCCAAAAGTGTATATTTGATCCAAGTTCGGATTATCCCCGAACTCCTTCCTACAATAGAAGTTTAAGTTTAGAATTCCACATAATGGAAACACAGAGAATAAAAATCTAGTAGAGATGAGCAAGAATGAGAAGTAGATATAGTTTTGGCTGAATGTTATATGAATTCAAAACAGGAATAAGAAGAATTGAGGAACAATAAGCAGTAAATTTAGATATTCGCAGTCTGAATGGCAGGATTTCACATAGGAAATAAGAGGCAGTGTTCGGCATTATTGGCTAATGAATGGTCATTTTTCTATAGTGCATATTGCAAATGTAAGATACTTTTGTGCCTAAATCCATGCAATTATACTGTAATTACCAAAGACACCTTTTGTCTAACTGGAATAGGCGAGCCAGCTTTATTTTGGCTCTTTTCATGTTGTACTAAATTGAGAGATGAAAAACTCCCTATATTTGGCTCACATCTTGGTAACTACATCCATATGTTTATTTAGTTTTGTTAGCAACACAGAGGAAATAGGTTGCCATTGCCTTTTGCCTGGATTTTTTTTTCCCTTCTATTTCTCAGTATAGCATCTGGTCCTGTATTTTCTCCCATCCAAGTCTAGGAAGGTCTGACCCGCGTTAACCTTTTGAGAAATTCGAAGAGCTTGATGCTGCCATCTGCTTAGGAGAATTACAGGAATTGGTCGTTGTTGACATGTTTTAATTACTTCATTGTAGGGCCTCTCAGAAATAGCAGGTGGAAGGAACTTTGGAGGTCTTCTAGGCCAGCCCCTTGCTCAATCAGGAAATCCTACACCATTTCAGACAAATGGTTGTTCTATCCCTTCTTAAAAACATCCCGTGTTGGAGCACTCTCAACTTCCAAGGGCAAGCCATTCCACTTGTTCTAACGGTTAAATGTAACTGTCAGATAATTTCTCCTTAAGTTCTAGGTTGCTTCTCTCCATCCATTAGTTTCCATCCATTCCTTCTTGTCCTGCCTTCAGGTGCTTTGGAGAAGAGCTTGACTCCCTCTTCTTTGTGGCAGCCCCTGAGATACTGGAAGACTGCTATCATGTCTCCCCTAGTCCTTTTTTTTTAATTAGACTAGACATACCCAGTTCCTGTAATTGTTCTTCTTACGTTTTAGCTTCCAGTCCTTTCAATGTTTCCCTTGAACAGCTTACATTTTGTTTTGTAACTGTTCTATCGTTCCAGTGATCATCTGCATGTTAAGTAAGGTTTGGGTGCGTATAAGGATTTAGTAATCAACATTTTCACATGTGTTGCTAGCCACAGAAAGAGCCCAGGTTTTTGTAAATGCCATTTGGGGCACCAGTTCAGCAGTCATTGGTGTTTAATTAGTTTGTGGGTACAGCGTTAACAGGCAGCGCCTCTGCTGACAATCATGACACAGTGTCGGTTGCAGCCCCGTCATGCCCTATGCTCATGGGGCGTATCCCCAAGTGAGCTGTGTGGTTTTTGAGGCGTCATTCACGTAGCACGGTGTTGTCTGCTTTTGCATTTGAATCAAAGGGTGTGAGTTCCTCTTCATGTTGAAGCTTGATTCATTTTTTTGCTAGGTTTCATGGCTGCATTAGTGGCTAGGGCATTGGGGGTAACTGGCTTTCTGTTTTGCAGGGGCTGAATTCATCTGGAGGCCTTAGCAGCAAGTGAGATCATGGAGGAAAATGGTGAAGATGTGGCTTCCCTGGGTAAGGATCTCTTCTCTATCATTGGATTATCATCTTAATATTGAATGCTAAGATCTGTTTAAGAAATTATTACAGTCCTGGTTGTGAAACCCCTCACTGTGACCAAAACTACCCCTTCCTTTAAAAAAAATGGTAAGAACTACAGTAGACACAGATGCAGTGAGTATAGCATTCACTATGCTATGACTCCTCTTCTTTTTATGGGTCCTTTGGGGTCTTTTAAGTTAAAAAGGAGTGTATTCTCATTTCATTCAGTAATGTGCTCCCAAAAAGTTGGGAACTGGAAGATATGTCTGGGAGGGAGAAAGAAATTCTGTGACAACTGTGTTTGTGAATATGTTATGAAATAATATTTAATTACAAACTAAACATGAGCCAGCAGCAAGATGTGGCTGCAAAATTAGCAAAGATAGTTTTAGGCTGCTTCAATAGGAGTATTTAAGAATTTGGGGTGGAAGATCCAGCAGGGGCGGAGAACATTAAGTCTAGTGTTGTTTCCCTCTCCAAGTAATTTTGACATAATTATGCTAGGTGCAAATTGATCTGGATAAATACCTTAGTAGGCTTTCTACTTTACCACTTTATTAGCAGTGAAGGTGTTTCAAGAGAACTAAGTAGTTCGTGCTTCCTAACTGAGCCAGCTCAAGGGTTACACAGAAGTAAAAATTCCTCTATTGTATTGGGTTGGTTGAATCCATTTTAAATAGGTACAGTTCTGGGCAATCCAGTAGAAAAAAAAACAGTGAAGCTTTTAGATAATCTCAACACATGAAAGGTGTCCTAGAGATGCGTGGGGAGGCAAGACTCTTTCTCAAGGGGGAAAAAAAAGCCATATGACCAGATTGTTGTGTAATCTGTTTAGAGTTCTTAAAGATCCCATCAGCTGCACAAGATTAATACAGTTCCAGAATTACAGTTTTTGCATAATCTGTAACGGTCCATTAGATGTCTTAAATTTGCGGTTAAGTTTGATGTACTAACACTGTTGCCCTAGCCTGGAAAAGTAATCCTGATTTGGGAAATGATTGTTTTATTGAGAATTTTGCACACAGCTGTAATTAAGAACAAAAAAAAGAAAGAAACCAAGATGTCATCTCCTTAATATATCTAGTTAGTTGGGCAATTGCTTGCCATTATATATTGTTCCCTGTGGTTCATGTTGTGTAAACCTTCAGATAACGTTGGGATCCCTTCTAGTTGCAGTGGAGATTATGCTTGCTTGACATTGAGAGCAGGGCAAGTTGCTTGTCTTACGTGTTTTCAAGGGCTCTGTTAGTCCAGAGGTTATACAATTAATGATTGAATATCCCACCATTTATTCAGTTAAAATAACTGAACGGTAGAGATGGTTCTGAAGTAATAGTCTATCTCCCAGCACACTCGCTTGGGGCCAGGGGTTTTGAGCGTTCAGTTTCTTGACCCAAATTTATCATTTCTGTGGGCATCTAGTTCCGGAATTCCATTATTTTGATTACGCAGAGATGAGCTTTCAGCCTTGGTTTGCCTTGGCCGTTAGTTGGCTGGAGTAGAGACTGAGAAGATGGTTTCAAGGACAGCAAAGAGGCCCATCGCTGTGGAATTCAGAGTCTTTTCTGATGGGTCTGAATTATCTCCTGTAAACGAAATACAGTTACTGAATTAGAAATCTGGGAGAGAGGCTGGCTTGGGAAACTCGACCGAATCCAAATTTCTATGGATTTACACACGGTATCAGGAAAATCTGAAAGGAGCACCCTAGAATGCCATAACCTTAATTCAATTTGTCAAAACCTGGCCCACTTGTTGAAGCCGTTTCAAGAGCAAAAAAGCTGTTATCCTGCTGAAGTATAAAAACCTGGTGGGAACGCCTCGGCTTTAGGCCACCCTAAGAGGGAATCTCAACAATATGGAAGAAATTCAACAGCCTGTTTTCAAGATGAAAAGGCCAGGAAGGCTTGACCTGTGCTCCTTGGCTATTATGGTACCCATCTTCCACATCCCTGCTAGGTTTTTGCAGTGCCTGCAGTAATTAGTTCCTCCAATACAGAGATCAGCATCCTTTGGGGTTCGTAGGAGTCACCCTTTTGGGGAGCCCATAGGCTATAGGAGTTAGGTTGCTGATGCGAACAGGTGGAGTGCAGCATGCAGATGAGAAGGGCAAGGAATTTCCATTTTTCTAGTTTTTTTGCACTATTCATTGAATTTCAGATTGTACGCTATTGTTTCTGTTGTTCTTGCCTCAAATTTTTGGAAATCTTGGGGTAGGAGGGGGAAAGACAGGTAAAACTAGCTGAAATATCATTTCAGGCTCCAGGGCCTCGGTTTGCCCTTCCTGGCTCCGATGCAGCGTTTTGTTTCGTTTCATTTGCCTCAGTAGACTCAAATTAGGTTGCGTTTTTTCATCCCCTCCCAGACCTGAAGTTGAATATTTTCCCTGCAAAGAAAAAAAATAAAAAATAAAACAGAGGTATTTGAGGGAAGAAATGTTATTACCAACATTTTAAAAGTAACTCACTGAAGGGATGAGGCTTTATAAGTAGCTAAGTGGTAAATGGCTCCTCCGACATCCATTTCAGAAAGAGCACCACACTGAGAAGGATGGGCTTTTTTAAGGCAGGTCCTTTGATGATGATGACAGTGATGATCATGGCCTTTTCATTTTGATCCCTCTTATTTTTCTCAGTCCCTTGGCTTTCTTATCTCTGAATGCCGATTGGGAACAAAGACGTGATTCCCATTTTTTTCTCCCCCCTCTCTGGGCAAGTGAGATTTTACCACAGTGTTTTTTGCCTGAGGTTCCAACTGGGTGCTTTTTAGTTTTGCTCCAAGTGGGGAAGTTGTAGATGTTGTATTTTTGAGGAAGTTCTGGGCAAAACATGGGAGCTACTGGCTGTAAAGAGGGACATTCCTCCTTTCATTATCTGATTTTTAAAAAAAAGAAAACTAGTACATCTATGTCAATCGTTTATGTCTTTATGGCACGTAGATGACTCACAAGAGAAATGAAACCTACATAGTCATAATATTACCTGTATCTGGGGGCTAGCATGCAAAGTAATTTCAATCTAGCTTTAGAATCTGTTTTTATCTCTCTTTTTTTAAAGCCAAGTTTCCAATTCTCATGGTTAATGGATACAGAAATTCAGCTTTATTTTTTTCCTATGAATGCAGGCCTCTTGCAATGAAGCCATCTAAAAATGACTGCCTCTAATTTTGTCTGTTTTTCTTTTCTCCTTGAGCGGCCTACATTTCAACAGATGGCAGCTACACAGGTGAGTAATTGTTGTTTTGCATGTCAGTCCATGAAACTAAATCAGCCATGTCTATAAATCTGCTCTGAAACCTTGTGATTGGAATATATCTATGCAACAGTGATGTATTTTCTTAAAAGTTTATCTTTGGTCAGGGGCTAGGCTAGTGAAGGTTAAGGAGGGATGGAACTGTAAAACTGCTTCACACATTACGCTAGACACGCGCATTGCACCATTGTTGGCTCTTGGGTTTTTTGTTTTTGTTTTCATATGCAGACCCCCGAGTCACTTTCTTGCGGTCACACATGCTTTCTTTGCAGGCCAACTTGTGGGAACAAAGATGCGAGATGCGTGTCTCTCGTAACATTTGTGTGAGATGCAGTGTGTCAGTGGGGGTGTGGGGTGGGAATTTGCCAGCATAACCATAGAGTGCATTGTACAGAGTGTCCCATCTATCTCTATCCGCACTCTATCATTAGGAGCTTCTTTGTTGCACCCTCCCCACTAGCACTCCTGTTACTGCGCCCAAATCAATTGAAACGTTTCCTGCTACCATTGTAAAATTCCCCTGCTGCCAATAGCACCGTGTCATCTCTGGAGCACACCATGTTGTCTGATACCCTTCCAGAGACCGTGCCCATGCCGAATCACGGCACACTGACGGCTTCCTCGCAGGGCTCTTCCTCTGCCACTAAATCAAGGCGCCAGCCTGTTTGGACTGACGAGGAGACCCGGGCCTTCATCCAGGTGTGGGGTGATGACGCGGTGCAGAGTGCCCTGGCATCAAACTATCGCACAGTTGCACAGTTCCAGTGGATAGCGGATGAAATGCGAGCCCGGGGTTACAACAGGGATTGGGAGCAATGCCGCGAACGTGCAAAGGTCCTTCGACGGGGCTTCAAAGAGATAGTGGATGGGAACAGCAACGTGGGCCACGGACGCCGCGTGTGGCCTTATTTCGAAGAACTTAATCGATTTCTTTGCATCAAGCAAAATCTGGTCGTTCCACGGCTTTCAGGGAGCAACCCGAGGCCTCCTGTGGACCGCCGGCGCCGCGAGCACAGAGAAGCGCAAGATGCCCCCTATGAGCCATCCCCAGTAGGCAAGAGCGACAAAGGGACTTTTGAAGAGCCAGACGGGGACTGTCTGTTGTTGCCCGAACCAGCAGGATCTCAGCAGTGCGAAGCCAACATGGAAAACCAAGTGGCGTCTCCAGCAAATTCTGATATTTCCATGGATGGTAGTGTTGGTCCTGGCACTCCCACCGATCCTTTGCCATCCAATGACTCAGTTACTGGTGAGTTTTGCTTGGATTTGCCGTGTGTCTTTAAACGGGTTTTGTATAATGTGTTGTTTCAACCCTCTGGATTTCTAAGTGCCTTCTTTTCAGTTAGCTTGGATACAAAGGCAGGTGACTTAATGTCGTATTTGAAATACCATCAGATAAATGTCAGAATTCCTAAGAGAGAACCGAGTAAAACTGCCTCCTTCAGGGCAGCAGCGTGTGCATTCTCTGCCTAACTCTTCCTCCTACAGACAACAGAACATGATTGCACTAAGCAAATGTTGATATACAACGGTACAATTTCAATAATACATTTGGGTTCCAGTTTCTCACTTCTTTCACATAAACAGGGCAGCCTTGGTATAAAACTTGGATTTCTTAGGGCGAAGGATATTCTTTTATAAGCATAACCACTGACACCGATGTTTGCCTCCACAATGCCCCTAGCTTTTTTTTTTAATTAAAATGTTCTTTTTGATCTTTGTTCCTGCAGCGCCAAATCTGCGCCCTCGGCCCCTGACCGCTGCAGAGAGGATGCGTAATCTTCGTTGCCGGCAAAGAAAGAGAAGGGGAGATACTTTGAAAGAGCTAATGGAAGTCACCTCCCAGGCTACCAGTGAACTAGTCCGGACACTGTCCGACCTCACCCATAAAGAGGTGGCTTCTTTTGAGCGTGCTTATAAGGAGGACCTGGCGGCCAGGAAGGACGAGATGGAGCAGAGCGCTGAGGACATTGGAAGGCTTGTGAGCGCTTTGGAATCAAGCGATCAAACTCTGAAGGAGCAGCTAAGCAGCCAGACCAGCGTACTGCAGGGCATCTTGGAGGTCATGAAAGACATTCGGGGCAGAACATCATACAGTCCTCCGTATCCATCACAGTATTACGATTTCCCAGGCCCTAGCATGATTCACACAAGTGGTACTTCCTCAAATGGCCAAGAGATGCCATGCTCCTCCCCTTCCAGCCTTCCATTTCCTTCCCAGCAGTCTGCCACAAGCAACGGAGATGTCTCTCCTCGGAAGCGGATGAAATGAAGCCAACAGGCGGAACGGCACTGATGATTTAGCATCCTGGTGGAAACCAACTCTCCAATTCTTTGTTCCTGTTAGGACACATATATTGCTTTCCTTACTGCCTTCTTGCATAGTTAAAACATGTTCTCATCCCCTTACGTGTGTCTCCCCACAATGTTAATGTTGGGGAAACAGCCGCCAGCAAATGTACATCTAGATTTATTATTACTTTTTTTTAGCGTACCTATGTTAGTTTTCCTTCCATCTTGTTTCCAAAGGAATGCAGTGTTTGATGTACAAGTATAATTTTTTTTAAAAAAAAATACATACTTAAAACACATTACCAGGTACCTGTAAGAGGGTAATATTTGAAAAGTAATAAAACTGCACTGTTGTTCCAAGTTGTTCAACATGTGTTTAATGGTGGGAGTATTCAGAGTTGATAGGCTGGATCAAATTGGTGTGCTCCAAATTCAGCTTTCTGTCTTTCAAAAATGGCCGCCCAAATTTCCACAGAAAGCTTCATATGACAGTGAGGGTGAACCTTTTGGGCTCAATGTGTCAAAAATGTAAGAAAATGCCTAATTCTGCTGGTGGTTCACGCACATACAAGTAGACAAAAGAAAAACAATTCTTTACATAACCATTTTTTAAAGACCAGTCCAATCATGTTATATATAGGTAATCTTTGACTTACAACCATTCATTTAGCAACCTTTGGAAGTTATGACACTGAAAAAAGTGAAGCCATCCTCACACTTAAAAGTGTTGCAGGATCCCCAAGGACACATGATTGAAATATGGGCATGTATTTTATACAATAGCACTTATATACCAACCCATAGTGTTTCACAGGATTCTTTGGCCAGTTTACAATGTCCACATATTGCCCCCAAGAGTCTGGGTCTTTATTTTACTGACTTCAGAAGAATGGAAGGCTGAGTCAGCCTCGAGCCCATCCGTATCGAATTCCAGGCAGTGGGCAGAGTTAGCCTGCAATACTGCATTCTAACCACTGCGCTACCAGGGCTCCTTCATGATGGCTGCAGCATCCCAGGATCATGTGATCACTATTTGCAATCTTACCAGCTGGCTTCTGACAAATTCAATGGGGGAAGCCAGATTCACTTAATGACCTCATGATTCACTTAACAACTGGTGATTTGGCTTAACAACCAATGCAAAAAAGGTCGTAAGATTGGGTGGGACACATTTAATCCTCACTTTATCAACAAATCCTGGTCTTAATATGGTCATAAATTAAGATCTAATCTATATTACATAAAGGAACAACAAATAATTACGAAAATAAAATCCATGTAAAATAATGAAAAAAACCTAAAAGAGAGAAAATAATACCCTGATAATTGGGCTTAGAGTAGTGCAATAAAAATTACTTTTATTAGTAATTTTGATTGGAAGTGAAAATAAATATTAAACACACTTTTAATTTGATTAACATCAGTGAGTGGCTTTTGTTGCTGAGTTCTTAAAAGATAAGTCTGAAATTGAAGGTAAATATTTTGTGCAGTGCAAATCCAAGCAAGCAGCACTAACTTCACATCATTCAGTTTCTTTTATCTGTTTTAATGTTTAATGCCAAGATTAATGTCGCACCAAAATATGCAGAGGAAAAATTGTGAGTACGGTAAAGCCATTGCTAGATTTTTAAAAGCGCTGAAAGTTTCTGGTATTCAATTCCAAACATTCCAAATGCATTGTTTGTAGTGTCAATTTTCATTCCTAAAGACAGTTTCTCCCCCCTTCCCCAAAGATCCTCAAGTTGGGATCTCAGACTGACATATACCTGAGTCTAGATGCTAACCTGGAACTTGGCTAACTGCAGCTCTAGTCATTCAATTTGTAGCCATTGAAAATCATTTAATTGCATCGCATTGTAGGTTATTCCATCCTGAAACTTAATTATTTTAATTGTCTGTTCTGAACTTGTGAACTGATTAAATCTCCCACCCAAACTGATCAATTATTGAATTTAAAATGTGCAGGTATCGGTACCTTATATGCAAATATTTCATTTCATTTTGCAGAGCCAATCAAACTGTGAAATGTTATTTAATCTTTGAAAATACAGGTTTTAGTCCCCACACCACATATGAAAGTTCAAAGTTTAGTTTCAAAGGCTTTTATATATCTGAACATAACATCAATATTTTTGCCAAAACCTTGTAACTTTTAAGTTCATTTCATTCCTGTGAACCAAGAAGTCTGTAAAAACATCAACATGCTAAGTCATGTACAGTCCTGAACTGACGAAAACTGTTCAAATTTTTATTCTCGACATATAACTTAATTTCTTCATAGCGCTGCACAAAGCTTTTCTTCAACCACCTCAGGTTGTGCATCAACAGTCTGCTAATAAGTTGGTTCAACTTCCTGCAATAATGCAGAAAATTTTGCTTGTGAAGGGATTAAGCAGCTATAAAATTGGCTGCTTTTGTTATCATTACATCATGTACTTCTGTGAATCCTGCCTTGGCACACAACACCTTCTGGTGGATAATGCAATGAAATGACACATCTGGCTGTCCAAAATACTTCCCACCACCACCATATTGAGTGCCTCATCGGTCATCACAGAAACAACTTTAGACATAACAAAGCTTAGGCCATGAAGTATTTTTACAACATTGCTTATTTTGTTCCTGGATATATTTATTAGTATTGTTCCTAGCTTTACGAGCTCTTCTCTCATTGTCTGACCATTGGAAAATTTAGCCAATGAACTGACATCAGTAGTTTCATCAAGATAAATCAAAACATAATTATCTAACCCTCCTTTTAATGGATGTTCTTTGGACATCATTGTCATCTCTCTGTCTTTAATAGTATTTCTAATAACTGGTAAATCAGAAATAGGTTTAATAACACCTTTATTTTGCACATCTTGAAACAATAAAGGTGCTCATTTGAGAAGAGTTTCTTTAATAAATTTTCCTCAGAACACTGAGGGCCTTTCCATGCTGAGCTACGGAAGGAGCAATGCTGAAACTTGCTGATGTTAAATTCGTAAGACGTCTTAAGAACTTAAGGAATTTAATTTGACCCTCTTGAGGTGGATCTATTGAGAAAATGTATTTCTTCCTCACTTCTTTCCAAAAGCCAATGATAAATTTGTTTCAAAATGTCTTTTTGCATTCCATATTCTGCTTATTACTGTTTCATCACGCAATAAGCAGAATGATTTGCCATTTCTGTTGATAGCGCTGTACTTCTCAATCCATTTATTTATAAACCTACCGTTTTCTTTTATCATTCCATCAGGATTATATTTTGAGGTTTCCCCCATAACAGGGCTAGGACATTAAAGAAATAAAACTTTCATATTACAATGAATTTCACAGGACATGAGAAATATTAACATGATCAAAACTCCGGCACTTGGCACTTAGTTTCGCCAAGGATGCAGACTTGTTCTATGGAAGATCCTCCTTTGTTTTCCAAAGAAACAAAGCAGGAAAACGTAAAACCAGCCTCCCCAAAACTATTTTCGGGCTGTAACTACTTAGAATGTGCTTTTTAACCTTGTGCTCTTTCAAACTGGTTATTATAGGTGGATCTATATGTTGTTTATCTGAAAAGCTAAATATAAAGAATATTTGTGATGTGAGAATGGAGTATAGTTTTCAGAAAGAGGAAGTTGACATATGTCAAAACATACATTTTCCCCCCTTGGCTGTCCCCTTTTCAGTCTCATATGCTTTGTAAGGTCAGTCTGATCTTATTTCTCTATGTTGGGGGTACTTACATACCCTTTTAAAGAATTGTATTTTTCAGTTAACCATATAACTCTAAAGGAACTTACGTTAAAACTGCTGTGATATATACAGTGAATATTAAATTGTTACAGGTTGCTATTTCTCTAAAAGTAACAGAGAAGGCACAGCTGAAAGCACCTCTCTGCCTTGAGTCTCATTCATGTCATGATTTACAGAGTGCCAATCATTTAGCTATGGTTGACCTCACTTTCAATGAAACATTTAAAAGCACAAAGGTTTGTAAACAGCTTGTAAACAGAGCAAGTGCCTCGGCCCACATTTCTAAAGTATTCATTATTGCTTGAAACGATTAGTTCAAAAGTGCAGATAGTTCCCGACTTAAGACCACAATTAGGCCCCATATTTCCATTGCTAAGTGAGACAGTGTGCTTTTATCAGATGGTTGCAAAAAGATGATTGCATGACCCTGGGACACTGCAACCAACGTAAATACCGGACAGCGGCAAGCGGCCCAATTTTGATCACATGACTGTGAGGATGCTGCAATGGCAGTAAGTTTGAAAAATGATCATAAATCATTTTTCAGTTCTGTGGTACTGGATGGTTGAAAGTCGAAGGCTATCTGTATTCATCGTTGTTTGAAATGGTGCAATACTTTGTGAGATAAACATTCTTTCCCAGCACCAGGTATACCTCTCGGGGGGGAGGGGGGGGAAAGCCTATGGAAGACAGCTCCAGGTTACAAGAAGCCTTCACTCTGGAAACTTCGAAAAATATTCCTGCGTGGGCATTGCAGCCTCCAAAAAATACTGGGAAACACATGTGCAAATTTTTGGAAGCTCCAGAGGCTACTTGAGAGCCTGGCCCTCTTGTGCGACTTCCAAAAGGTCCGAAGGCTGTCCAAGAGTATGCCACAGTCCCATGAGGCCTCTTCAACTTCAGAAAACTCTGGCAAAATGAGGTGTGCTGGCATGTCACTGAAAATAACGTGGCTCGTGCTCATCACCAGTAACATGCAGTCACAGTTTCACCATCACTGGTATAGGACCGTGATGGCAAATCTATGGCATGTGTGCTACAGATGGCACACAAAGCTATTTGTGCTGGCACGTGAGCCACAGGCAAATTTACCTCACTGCCCATGCGCATGCCTCACAGCTGATTTTCGGCCTGTTTGAGGCCTTTTTCGGCCTCCCAGAGGCTTGAGGAAAGCCTTTGCAGGCCGAAAAAGAGGCCCATTTCATCACTTCCTGTATTTCTGGAAGTACTGGAAGTGATGAAACAGGCCCATTTTGGGGTCTGCAGAAGCTTTCCTCAAGCCTCTGGGAGGCTGAAAATGACCTCAAATGGGCTGAAAATCAGCTGGGAGGCACAGTGCAGGTAAGGGGGCAGCGGGGGAGGGATTGCGCGGGCATGCATGGGCGTGCATTGCCTTCTGGGTGCTGGCACACGAGCGCACACAATTTTTGGCACAGAAGCCCAAAAAGGTTAGCCACCACTGGTATAGGAGGTGATGCGGAAGTCAGTCATTAAAAACATGCACCAAAGGTGCTTTTTTGAAGGGCAACTGGACTTTC